GTTCTGTACAAGTGTCAAGCCAAACTTCTTTTAAGTCTTTTAAGTCATCTTCATGTAAAAGCTGGCTTAGAATCTTCACAGCTGAGGTCCTGCAAAGAAAAAAAAAAAAAAATACAACGGTTATCTTAGTTTTCTGCAATAAGGCAGATGCTTAATTCTACTATATACATTAAAGTGATCCCACATAATGAAAGACATAATTGTATTAGAAGATACTAATTGAGATTAGCCATCTGTCATTACACAGATTTAATATTACCCCATCTTCTGATAGACTTACTCATCTACGGCTGCCAATATACCGGCAGACTTGGCTGCTTGGCATGACAATTGGGAGGCTGCATATCTGCCAGACAAAGCTGTGAAATGCTGGACACATTCAGGAAACATACGAAAAGGTTACAGAATAACTGTGCTATTACAGCATTGCAACAAGGAACCAAAAACTACAAATGATCAAAAATCTGCAAAGGTGTTAATGCAAAGAAGGTGTGTACATGGGACCCAATCAGGATGCTTTGCAAAAGTGTGCATGTTTTTCTGCTCAGCAGATAAACCTCAGCCATGGTCTTACTTTAATCAGCAAAAAAAATTCAACAATTGACTTCATGAAAAATTACCCAAGGATGTTTGCCATATTTTGAGAGTGCCGACAAGCAATCAGACAATGAATATCACGTCTTCTAGGAAAATGTATATAATTATTACCCAGCACTGAACATATGCAGCATTCTGAAACAGAGGATGTTATTTACTAAAACTGGAGAGTGCAAAATATGGTGCAGTTCTGCATAGAAACCAATCAGCTTTCAGAATTTATTGCCAAAGCTTAATTGAACAAACTGAAGCTGACTGACTACCATGCACAGCTGCACCAGATTCCGAATGCACACGTTTTAGTAACCCCCCCCCCAAATTGTCTTAATGACTATCCAGTGGCTGATCAGGTCATTGTCAACACTATATAGCAAATGAACAACATGAATTATGCAGTTGCCTCCTGTACCACCATGGAACAATGCTATCCAAAAGGGTACATTTTTGGCATAGAAGGCAGCCACGTGTCTAAAAAAACTTGAAGCTTTTCACAATGATGACCTATAGTTGAAAGGAAAGTTAGAACATAATAAATATATATGCTGCAAAGAGGGAAAGAATATAACGGTTCAGGTTGAAGAAGCTTAAGAGCATAATTAGGTGTTCCTCTATTTTGTGTGCTCTCTTTCCCTTTACCCAGCCCTTTGGCAACACAATATATGTTTTATTGTTTGCCAATTTCCTACTTCAAGGGTGTGACTCCCCAAGCTTGATACACTTGGGCAGAAATGTTGAATTGTCTGAACAAGAGTGTCTAGCTGTCCCCTCCCTCTCTCCTTATATAACCTACATCATTCACGGAGTACAGAAAGTAGATGGCACAGGCCCTGCAAAATCGACGTTCTGGAAAACTTGTAGTGTCTGGCTCCAGGATTGCAATTTGCCAGCTCTGACATATCCCTGCCAGTGCATGCCTGGAACAGTACTGAACAGCCGTGGAAAGCTATTCATTTCTCTACTGTGATTCAGAATGGATCAGCCAGTGACAGAAAGGAAATATTACTTCTGATCTAGCTGTGTGACACGACAGCTACCCAATGTCACCATTACTTAGATATACAATCACATAATTCATTTACTGATCTTAATTCAGCCATAGACGGTTCGAATCTCGAACGGTTCCTGTATTCGAACCATATATGGGCAGGTTGAGTGTATCCAAGTTGATTGATCAATTAACTTGGGTACAATCAGTCTATCCGATTTTACATGCGATTATTGCTGCAGGAGGATTTCCCCCATCAACATCAATTCTCTTTCCTGCAACTCATGATTTATCTGTTAAGAACTGTCCTGTGAATGTAGATAAAAACTGAATAGCAACCCAATCTACCAAATCATGGAATGGGCATATTCCTATTGTCTCCTGCACAATCCAGGTATTTGGGCACCAGATCCAGCAAAGCAATTTTAGTTAAGATGCAAGATCTGTTTTTGTATGGACTAATGGTATTAGGCTCTTCAAGAGACTTTTGTGGATAAACCATATGTAATAGGGTGGCTGGATAGGTTTCATTACATACTTCTATGACTATTTAAGATCGTATAATAAGCTTCTGCAACCAAGGGGTCATAATTGGTCTGCCAACCCTCGGTTCAGTATTTTGACAGATTTCCCCTTACACATGGTTAAATCGAGTGTTTGGACCGTTGACTCAGGTATAATGGTTGGACCAATACAGAGGAAGTTATTGTATAATCATTTACCATCCTGGTATACATAATCGCTAGATCTTGAGATCTGGATATGTTAACCCTATGCCAAACACTTTAGATTAATAGACACAACTATCAACACTGAAGTGACTGGCGGGCATTAATGACGTTACCAGCTCTGTTCCAGATATACAGTTTCAGAGAACAGTTACTAAGCAGTGACTGAACTGGGACGACAGGTCAGCATTCCTGGACCTCATACTAAGAGAACAAGTATGAGACCACACCTGTCCCTAGAGGTGAAACCAGAGCAAACAAAGTTTCCCAGCTCAGCAGCGCACATTCCTCTGTACAGAGGGCAGGCATGTGCCAGAGAAATGAGTAACAGAAAAGAAGACTTATCCAGAACACAGGGGACAACAGATAACCACTACTGATGCCAAGAGATTGAGAAGTCTCCTTTTGTTGACACTATCTACAAGGGATCGGAAATGTGTGGCTGGTTGAAACGCTTCGCATATTTGTGATAACAAGTTGTTTAATGAAACAACAGAGCATGAAAGATATGGTATGTCACATTGTAACATCCCCCCCAGTTAGAGACAGTGAGCTGCGAGGAGGAGAGCCCTGCAATGCAACCTGATGTTTCTGCTAGTTTGTCTTTCTGTCCTAAAGGAAACCTGTGATGAAAGAAGCAAGGGCCTTCACCTTGACCCTCTTGCTACAATATTTTGAATCAATGATGCAGAACACAGAAGGATTTGGACCTCACTCTGAATTTTCTAATCTGCAAATCAGGACCCACACTACTATCTTTTTCTCAAGCATCATGGAGTCAGCTTTCCCAGAGCAGAGCTGGGTGTCTCTTCTGGGTTCATGCAGCTGGCCTTGGGATGACTTCATCAGGGACTCAGCTACAAGGACTAAGAAGAGAGAGTCAATACTGATTGCCTGCAGTGGCTCATGCATTGTAGATTACCCTGACACCTCCTGAGATGTGTGATGCGAGCATCTCAGGAGACTGTAGGGGAAACAGAATGTGTCATCCTCTCTAAGCAAGAATCCAGAAAGTGCAGAGAGGGTTCCCCTGAAGGAAGTGTAGAGAAGGGTTCCCCTAAAGAAAAAAAAAAAAAAAAAGCTGGGAATGAAGTGAAGTAGAAGTGGTTGGGGAGGATGAAAGCTCACTTTAAGCAACTATAGTGCAAACAAGCGCTTATGCAGAGCTTATCTAGTGAAATCAACATATGTGATGATTACACAAGAGTCTAAATAAATCTAACATTCTGTGATACATCAGCTGGTTCTCTTAGAATCCCAAAGTGCAAGGCCACCATCCTATCCCAAGCTGCAGCAGGTACGTAATGGAAAAAGCTGTCTTTTGGCTCATTCTAAAGCTTGAATCACCACCCTAAAAAAAATGCCAGCATGAGTGACTTGTTAGATGCCCATACATCATAAGATCCAGCTGTCTAAGCCCTGGTTCACACTGATGCGGTGCAGAATTCGCAGCATTTTTAATGCAAATTCCACACCGCATCAGAATTGCAGCCCGTTCATGTGAACCACTGTGGGTGTGTATGTTAACAACACCCCGAACGCGGTCCGCAAATGCGGTGCGTTATGAAGAATCGGATCGCATAAGTGTGAATACCCATGTGATCCGATTCTAGTGCGGACCAACAAATATAATATATATATTAAATATAGGTTTAATGCTTTATTCAGGTAGGCCCTTGCACAACATAGTTGGCGGTAAATCTAAAAGATTGTACATTGTCCATCTTTTTCAGGAAGATTGGAAGTATGTCTATGGGTCTCCAGCAGACACTTTCTAATATCTGTCTAGGGGAGAAGGTATGAGACATGCTGTAAAACCTTGTATGATCAATGTAAAATCTATGGCAGCCTTTAATGTACAGTAAGAATTATCAGCTCTGGAAAAAAAAAATAATAGATGGAGATATATTCTTTTCTCTGGAAGTATCACAAGGGAAAGCCTAATATCTGAAGTTTATAAAAGGACCGAAGTGCCAATTTGTTGACTCTCCCAAACTTTTGTATTGTTGCAAACAGCCCTGGAGACATAGTGCACATGACATAAATACAAGTATGTACCATACAGGTGTTTGCATGAGACACCTTTCATTATAGTATGTGGAGAGTGCACACTTGTTCTGCAGGTTTACATAGTCTAAACACGTCTGTATTTTGTCTCACTATAAACAAAATTATGACACAAACTACATAAGAGGGTCGTCCAGTTCCAGTGTCTGAGGCAGATTTAATGAGACCCTATCACCAGGCCATTCATTTTAACATTTTTCCCCAGACGATATTATGCGCATTAAACATTTATGAATATTTACTTGTGAAAGCCTACCTTGTGTAGGCATACAAAAGCCCTGAGACTGCTGCTGGGTGCCGCCATCATGGATGTGATGTCAGCAGCCCCAGCAGAACGAAAAAAAAAAGGAAAAAAAAAAAAAAAAGGAAAAAAAAAAAAAAAACAGTTGCAAAGTTGCATATTAGACTGTTATATGACAGTGAAAGGGAATCTACATGCTGGGATGAATTATGGGCTCCTCCCTTCACACAAGGAAGTGATAGTGAAGAGAAATCTACAGACTAGCATACATTGTGGCTTCTTCGCTGCACACAAAAAGCAAACCTCAACAAAAAAAAAAGTGTACTTGCTGGCATAAAGACACGTTCCTAAACTGAAACTTACCATGCCAGTGCGCAGTGCTTTAGGACGGCAGATGTTTCCACGTGCTGACAAATGCCGTGGGGATAAGAGAATATGGAACTGTAGTTATGCTGTTCCACGCATCAATTGTTGGATCATAACAGTCCAATGTTTTGCACCTCTGAATTCCAAAATACCCTCCAACTACAAACAGTTTATTGCCAGATGCTACTGCATGACAGCTCATTCTCTTGGCTGTAACATCTCCAGCTTTAGTCCACTGATAAGTTTCACTGTTGAATTTATAAGCTGAACAGGCTGAGAACTCTGTATCTCCACCCATGATGAAGATCTGGGTTCCCAAAACAGCTGCTGCGGTGTAGCGCCAGGGCTGTGGGCAAGTAGCTGGTACAGTCCATCTGTTTTCTGAAGGATCATAGCACTGAACCTTGGGCAACTTGTCATGGCTAACGCTGGTTCCACCAAATGCAAACAGTTTGAGTTTTGCACTGACCACAGCTGCATTGCTGACACCTTCTCGAAGAGGAGCAACCATTGTCCACTTGTTGGTTGCTGGGTCATACTGCTCCACTTGTTTTAAGGACACAGATGGAGAGGCAGGAAGACAGCCTGTGGCTGCAGTGTGTCCCCCTACTACATACAAACAGTGTTTTAGTTCAGCAGAGCCATGGCCGAACCGTGCAACAAGCATTGGAGCAGCCTTTGACCACTCCTCATGTAGAGTGTCATAAACCCAAACATCTTTGGAGACACCATTTTCAGAACCCCTGCCTCCAGTGATATACACTTTGCAACCGATTGCGCATGCACTGAATTCTTTGCGGGGGCTTGGGATATCTGCCTTGGGTATGATCTCCTTTGCCTTCTGGTCAACAAGGTATAATTTATCACACATAAAAGTCTGTCCTCCCAGAAGAAACAGAGCATGTCCAGTTTTACGAGGCTTAGCACACATGCTGGTCACCACGCCATCATTTTGTAATATTTTTAATTTACACCGAATAGCTTCTTCTACTAGTTCTTTGCTTTTTTTCTGTTTAATGATAAGCTCCTCCATTGCCACATTCTCCATGAGATATATGGCAGGCAGAAGAGCCAATCGAACAGTTTGGAGCAGCTCTGGAAGGTAACAATGCCGCTTATTGAGATCGTAGTTAATCCAGTTCATTGCAGATTCATATACCATTCTTTCATCTTCAGTTTCCAGTTCCTCATGGCATAAGAGCTGTACCACCAGTTCTTTGGGTAGTTGGAGAAAGTCTTCAGTTTTGCAGATGGTTTGGAAGTTGGTAAGGCACATTCTCCAAGACAGTTCATAGAGCTTAGTGCACTGGTGAGCATCAGAGAGGAGAAGCATGCCTAAGCAGTTGGTAGGATGAAGGTTTTTCTCCAAGAATTCCGCACAAGCATCTCTGATGTCCTCAAACTCCAACATATCTCCTGCTTCCAAAAGAGATTCAGCATTTTCTTCATTGATGATGACTCTGGACGAATAAGCATAATCCAATAGAAGCTCTAGAACTTCTGGGTGAATAGCACTGTGGAAGTTTACCTCATTGGCTTGGCTTTCTTTAAGACCACCACTGAACATGGCTTCAAAATAGCGACTGCAAGCAGCCAGGACAGCACGGTGGCAAGGGAAAGACCTGTTTCCCGCCAGTAAGAGGACATCTGTAAAGAGGCATTGCTGTCGTAATAGGTTGAGGTGAGTGAGTACATTGTCAGCATATGAAGATTTATGGAACAGATAGATGTTCATAGAGCCAGTACTGGCTCTGGATTTACGATTCTCATGTATGCTGACTGACATCTTCACTCCTGTAGGGAAAAAAAAAAAAAAAATCAACATAGGTATAATTAGTCATTGTGTAAAACTAATTTCTCAACCTCAATTCAGTAATTTACTTCTTTAATTTATAATAGAAGTCCAAAACTCTGTCACTTTCAAAACATGACTACTAGCTGTAAGCAATACTATTTATGAATCAAATCACTCAAAAATCTTCTGTATAACAGTAATCCTAAACAAATCAATGAAATTATGTAAATTAAATGTCATCTTAAAAAACTGTAGCATTTTTAGAAATACATATGAAAGAGGTCAGCTCAAAAAAATAAATTCTAACATGTTAATAAAAACAGTTTCTTTGTATAATTTGTCATTATATATGCAGGCTCTGCTTCCGGTTTAGTAGTGCTGAACAGTGTTTTTCTTGCTGATCTTATTTCATTGCAAAATATTCCTTGTAACATGAACCATGTGATCTAGACTATCTAGGCTTGAGGTAATATAAGGAAACTTAGGACCATTTTTTAACAAAATGCAATGTGTTTTTTTTTTTTATTCAGAAGAATAATGGTGTTGATGTCTGAGAAGTGCAAGTCAAGAAAAACTGTTTTGTGGTTCCACAGCAACCATCTAGCACCATTGTTCAATTTTCAAACCCTAGCTGGGGAAATGACAGTTGGAAGGTGATTGGATTTTTTTTTTTCTTATAGCATGCTCATACATCAGCTTGATTTGTGAATGATGACATTTACCTTATTGGTTTGTGTAAAGTGTGTATTTTCGGGTCTGGTCCTCTTTAATGTTTAGTGGAACAGCCACATCAAAAGACCATTAGAGGGAAACCTGGTCTATGAACATTTGGTTGGAGACTGGGATTTTGGGTGATAGTTGAGTGTACCTTTTGCTAATGTAGTTATTTCTTTTTTTTTGTGAATTGAGCCAATACTCACAGAAAAGTAGTCCATAAATAAACTGGGAACTAGTACCATTAAGGTTCCATGCACACTAGCTTTTTTTTGTAATCTCAAAAAACGCTGGAAAAAAAATGCTGGTAAAATAGTGTAAAATTTTAGTCGCGTTTAGGAGCGTTGGTGTTTTTACAGTACATATAGGAAAAAACAAAAAAAGGTAGAAAAAAAGCTTTTAGGTGCATTCAGGAACATTTAGGGTCGGTTCACACTATAGAAACGCAGTTCAGATGTGTCCCAAATGCGTTTCTGCATGAGCGTTTTTGGTGCCTTCAGTGCATTTGTGACACGTTCCAGTGTGTTTTTTTTACCTCTCTTTTTCTTCAATTTAAATAGGGACATGTGCATTCCAGTGCGTTTTACCGCATTCCAGTACAGTTTTGTGCAGGAAAAAATGCAGCCTGTTCTACTTTTTTGCATCCGGAACTGCAAGCACTGATGTGAATTATGACATTGACAACCATATAACCTACTTTCTGTGCATTTTGGATGCAGAAAAAAAGCACACTGAAATGCATGTAGTGTGAACTGGCCCTTAGCATATATTTCTGCCAGAAAAATGCTCCCAAGAAATCTACAAAAACAATTTTTTTCTGCTCCTAAATGCTGAAGCTTTAAAAATGCTGCATGGACACATATAACACTATTTAACTTCTAGGAGCAGAAAAAAAATGCAGATACCAGCTTCTAGGAGCTTAAAAAAGCACTATTGTACATGGAGCCTAAGTGCTGTCCAGCTCCTGGGGAAAAGATGGTCTGCAAATTGGTTCAGACCATTGGGAGCAAACTACTTGTCTTACGATGGAAACCTAAAATGTAGTTAAATTATACTATACATTGCAAACCTAGAAACTTACTTATCCTGATTGACGTCCGTCCCAAAGATTATGAAATTCTTATTTAAACCACAAAATGGCTGCCAACACTGGCGCTCCTTTATAAAAGTCTGAACTGTCTGTAATGCCCATTAGCAGTCAATAGGATTCAAAGTACTGGAAATGGCAGAGCATGAACCACAACCACAGCACCACCTCCCTGGAGTTTGCATGTTCTCCATGTGCCTGTGTGGGTTTCCTCCGGGTACTCTGGTTTCCTCCCACACTCCAAAGACATGCTGGTAGCTTAATTGAATCCAGTCAAAATTGGCCCTAGTATGTGTATGTATGACTGAGTTAGAGACCTTGGATTGAACGCCCCTTGAGGGTTAGGGACTGATGTGAATGTAAAATATGTATATATGTAAAGCGCTGCATAAAATTAACAGCACTAAAGTACTTGTAATAAATAAAAAATTTGTAAGATTAAAGTCGAAATAACAATTCTACTGTCCAATTTAGATTGTGATCATAAAAATAAACAAGAATAGTTTTTGATCATTTTTATTGCTTACAAGTTTGTAAACTGATCTTTTATAATATGCCTTTTATTATTAATCTAAAACTATTTTACAAACCATGTTTAATATAGGATGCTTATGACTTTGCTTACAAAGTGTGCTAGGCTTTCCAATGAGAATGCCCATTACTGTATCTCCAAATAGAAAGTGTGTCTTTTCTTTGGTGCATTCAGCAGGGTATGTGACATTTAAAGAAGAAGAATTCCAGGTATGGATATTGGACCAGCTTGGACCAGTGTAACTATGCATATACCATGCCTGTGGGATCCCTCTAGAGCAGGAGTCTCCAAACTATGGCTCTCCAGCTGCTGAAGTACTACAAGTCCCACCATGCCACTGCCTCTGGGAGTCTTGCCTGTGGCTGTCAGTCTTGCAAGGCCTCATTGGACTTGCAGTTCCTCAACACCTGGAGGGCCATAGTTGGAGACCCCTGCTCTAGAGGCTGGAAATCACCGTAGTAGGCACCACTAATTCGGTGATCTCCACTAGGTCCCATGCTGCCCTACTGAATTCTGAATACATGGGGATGACTTCTTGGCACCAGCGCCAATCAGAGGTCACTTTGCATTTTCTGATTGGACAATGTGAGAATATATTCACAACATAGGGGATTCATTTTGTCTATTCATATCATAGTTAAGCAAGCTTAGTGAAGAGAGTTGTGGAGTAGAATAGCCTTGAGTGAGACATCTATTGGCTGCAAGTGGTAAACCAGTAAAGAAAATATATTTATAATGCTATACTTCCTTTAAAGAAAGATACATTCCTAAATAGCCCTTTTCTACGCCAGTGCCGATGGGGCCACTAAGAATAAATGCCCAGATTTTTCAAATTAACTTAAAATTAATTTTGCGAGTTCAACACAAACATTACAATGGCCACTGTTTTAAAGGGGCTTATTTCAAAACAAAATCATTAAAAAAGGAGAATGACTGGAATAAAGTTTATTATTTTGATATCCATCTTCTGAAAAACAGAACAAAAATAAGCTTCTGGTATACAACACTATACTGATCTATTTGTTGTATTTTGTTATTGTTTCTATGCCATGCTTTGTACTTTCCCTGATGTGGTATTTATGTAATATATATGTGTGACTTTTTTCAAATTATCTTTTGCTGCCTTGACAGTCTTGTAAAACTAGTTCAGCTGCTTTAGAGAGATCCATGGTAGACCACATATCAGTAGAACAGCCTGTTTCTTACCCCCTGACACCTCCATCTATGACAGTCATATGATCCACTCTACACATGTCAACATGAAAACATCAGGATCATAACAAGAAAACAAATCTTTTGCATGTGATAAAGGAGGTATGCACATTATACACCTGCATGTGTTGAAAGATGGATTACTGATCTCAGCACGACTCCATGAAAACCATAGGCTGCAATATGGAACACCAAATTTCGAGCCAAGTTTTAAACTCTGCCAGGCAAATAGCAGCAGAGTCAGAAAGTTTGGCAGGAAACACGTGTAACTCGAAAATTTACTACCCCTAAGCACACATCCCTACTTCATTAATTTATATAACTCATGTAATTGTAAACCAGCACACAAAGAAAGAAAAGGTTTAGACACATCCTCCAGAAGACTCTTTTCCTAACTGTCATTACAAAGGTCAGCTGAGTGATTTACAACTGTTAAACATGGTACTGTCAGTACCTCAAAGTGCTCATGTAACAGTCTACATGCCAGAAGGAGCTATTTTAAATAGTGGGAAACCTGACCACATTTTCTAATTAAGACAAGGTGCTTTTCAATAAAAAAAACTACATTACCCTAAAACCAAATAAGCCAGCCAAATTACGGAAAGCAATGGTATTCAAGTGATAGTAAATCCTCAATCTTTTAAGCAATTTCAGCAGCCAATGTAATTACTTTCTAAGTATGCAACTTCTTTATCTTTTAATCTTTGCCTCTGTTCCTGTTTAAGCTGATACCATGACCATTGCCACAGGTTTCCTGTTTCAGGTTGACTGCTTTCACTTGCAGCTTCCTATCGAGCTACCCTTGCATATAGGGTCCAGAGCTGTGTTTCCTTACTCTGTGTGCATCAATCCCATAGCCTAGGATACCAGGAACTCCCCTCTTCCAAGTTAACAGACTGGCTGGAGACTGTGCTATCCACTTTTAAGACCAGAAGTTCTGGGAAGCAGAACCCGCAAGAGCAGAAGTGAGCAGCAAAAGCCGTAAATAGCAAGTGCTGAAGTAATCATTTTACCAAATAGTTTACCAGAAAGTCTTTATTTTATTATGCTCAATGTGTCAAATTAAAAAAAAAAAAAAAAAAAAAAAGGTTAACGGTTTAATACCTTGACGTGAAAGGAGAAGAAGTATGGCCAGAGCACTTTTGCCCATACTTCTCCTGTGACGCACAGGAGTGAACTAATTTCTACACTCCTGTCACCCAGATTCAACCAACAGCGGTAAAGCCCACTGTTGGCTGTCGTCACAGAGCTGGTCCAAGCTGTGCCCAGGAATCCAACAATAATGTTGGGATCCACCCATCTGCCTGACTGGCAGCTGGCTCAGCCTCTCAACGTCCTGCTCTCTTCACAGCCCAGCGCTCCAGTGAGCGCTGAAGGGGGAAGAGCAGAGAGCTGGTGACTGACAGTCACCAATTTCTGCTCACTGATGACTGAGAACTGAGCAAT